CATCGTACAAGTGCACAAGCGAGGTAAATTTCAAGTGCACAAGCGAGTGCTCGCCCGCAAAGCCAACCCTTGGCACATATGCCAACTGCATGCCAACTGCCCAGGCCTGCAAATCACAAATCACCAACGTAGGAGTAACATCTATTCACATAACTTTTCAACAGGTCGCTCAAGCCCAAAGCAGCTTTTCAATAACCTATAGGCAAGTGCAAACTGTACATGACAACTTTATTCACCTCGTTTTAGGATGAAATTCTTCCGGCCTTGTTCTCTCTCGCTTCCCCACTGCGACGGTGCCTGGCAGGCGGCTGTGCTCAAAAGTCGTAGAAAGGTGCCAACCAGGCCAGTAACCAGGCCAGGCGGGTGGAACACGATATAGGAGACTGGTAGGATATGGGATATAGGTCCCCAAATAGATAGAAATTGTTTCCAATACATTTTTCGTGGGGATTTACTTTCCCATCCATGTTGGGGGTCTATATACAGGAGTCTGTAGGATAGCTGCTTCCTACCAACAATATAGGAAAGCGCTGTAGCCATGGGCATGTCATGGTCGAAGTCTCGGAGCTCCTTTCTTGCAAAGGCACTGCACGGCATGTTGCAGTCCGTGCCGGAAGTTTCTCCAGCTGTGTCAGTTCTTATTCGGACAGCTCGATATGGCGGATGGCCTGCCCACCAGCTGTAAACAAGAATGATTCTGCTCTAAGTTTTTTTCTCGTCTCCGCGCAGCCCATATATATAGATCGATATATACATATATATATATATATATATATCACGGACGTTCAAACTTGGCCGCGGGTATTGAAAACACATTGTCGGATCACACCTTTGGCGTGGCTGTGGATTCACCCACGCACGGGAAATATAGCAGCTGTTTTATCATATATTATGTGTTTGTTATCTATCTATTTAATGAATATTGGAATATTTTTGGTATGAAGAATAATATGCCATTTCTGAGGCATGGCCATGTTAGGCCATGTTCCTGAAGTCTTGCAACGGCTCTCATAGTCGGTCTTTTATTTGCCTTGAACCATGCCCGTCCATGCCCTGGCCGCAGGCTCACAAATGCCAGCAAAAAAAAACAAGATACCAAAAAAACAAACATGCAAAGGGAAAGGTCAACACAACCGCAAACATAAAATAATGACATACACATACACACAGATCACCAATAAGAAACAGCAATAATTTCCCCATCCATTGGATCTTCGAGCAAAGCGAGAAGATCTGCACTGCATCCGACAAAGTTTGCACCTTGTTGGCAGCCTGCCATCCTCATTCAATGCCTGCATGAAGGTGGCTCAGCAGAAAAGATCCAAAGCATGACACAGAATACAACAAACAAAATAAGATGACGCCTGACAGTTTCCATTAGCCTCTCCTTTCGCCTCACTTAATTACTTGGCGATAGTTCAAAACATAACTGAAAAATGTTTATCTCGTCTACGGGGTTTAGGGCCTCGCCCTGTTATGTACTAAACTATATTATAACTCCACCTCGCGCAGCAACAAATATTTGAGGTACGAGTTTAGCTTAGAGGTGTACGGGAGACCTCCGGAGATTTTGCCTTTCAATCTTCTCAGGCTGTCTAGCCACAGATGAAAGGTGGTGGTAGTGGTAGTGGTAGTGGAAGTGAAGCGGTAGTGGTAGTAGTTGCAGCTGTTGTTGCAGCGCTTATGAAAGTAGTAATAGTAAAAGTAGTAGCAGTGGTAGTAGTAGTCGTCGTCGTCGTAAAAATAATAGTAATACTGGTATCCCTTCATATATATATATATATCGCGCCTGACCTCATAATTCTAGCTATTACACCTCGTTCCCTCCGGTGGGTTGCTATAACAAATACCTGTTTAAAAAGAAGGCTGGGGTGCTTGGGAGGGCATTGGGATTTCTCTTTAAACCTTCGCAGGCCTGATCTGAACAAAACTCTTTTTAAAAAATCAATCAAAACCCAGCTTTGTGATTTTTGGGACACAATTCATTTTATACCATAATGGTCTTGCATCTTTCTTTGCACGAAAAACGTCTCCCAAGAGTGCTGTTTAAAAGAACATTGCCCGAGCAAAAACCATGTCAGACCAATGTCGGAGGCCCCTAAACAAAGCTTAGATTCGTTGTGAAACTACTAGACTGCGAGTCATTCTGGGGCATTTGTAGTTGGGGTGCCCACCCAACTAGAATCACCATCGTGCCCCGCACCGTATACATGCATGTGCACCCGTGCTCTGGCACAGAGGCCGCGCTTTCCATCGAGACCTCAACAAGCCACAGTCATGGCACAGCGACATCACCCTTCGACGTCTTTAGTTCTTGCTCTGACGGAAACTTCACAGGCAAAGAATAACAACGAATCACTCGCTTAATCAAGGGCTTTGCAACCCAAAGTGTCCATCTTTGCGGGTTCACCTCTATATTGAGGACCCCCTTGAAACACACACTACGCCGGCATAGACACCAGATAGCCAGATAGCACAAAATACTTGTGGGTAGCACCAAAGTGCCTTGCACTTCTCATTCGACGTAGACGCGATCTTGCAGCCACACCCTACAGCAGCACCAGCACCCAAGCTCCAAACCGCACACGTCCCCAAACATTTCGCAGGCACCTTGGAGCGGCACTCTGCGCTAGCACCCTGCACCGGGACCCGCTGCCATAGACACTTGGCAGCAACACCCTGCAGCGCCACCAGCTTGCAGGTTCCAAAGCGCACACCGGCCATGCACATCGACCAGCGGCACCCTGCAGCGGCTCCAGCACCCAGGCTACAAAGAAGCGCGCACTGCCATAGACATCTGGCAGCAACACCCTGCAGCGGCACCAGCGCCCAGGCTACAAGGTGCAATTCAACTCTTCCTAAGCTTGAAGCAAGACCCCCCAATAGCTTTCGCTCTCTGGGGAACGAGATAGCGAATCTTTGATTAGGGAGAGGAATGGGCCCCGGTATGTTTTGATAGATGGAAGGGATTTATACACAATAGATGCCTGAAAAGAAGAACCCTTCAATCCCGGCCTCGTTCTAAGGCGACCTGTTCGGGGACGCCAAAGGACTTCCGGAGGCAGGGCCAAAGGACTTCCGGGCGAGTCTGAAGCGCTCCCCAAGCATCGCTGGGGATCTGGGAGCAATCGGTCAAATCAAGCTCCTGCAAAGGCAACGAAATGTTGAAACAAAGAGCGCAGTCCAGTGAAGTGGATGCTCCTCCAGAGCAGCGCTCTGGGCCAAAGCCTTCAAAAGATGCTTTGCACCCTCGGCACCCTTCGTGTTGTCATCGAAGCACCTCGCAACGTGGAGAGGCATTGAACCAGTTCTAGGATTCTAGGCAATCAGTTCAGGAAAGTGTGCACAACAAATGCTGAGAACTTCCACGGCATTCACCCTTGTTGTGTAAAGGATGTAGAAAAATGATTGTTTGTTTCCAGAAGTGTTCTTACTCTTGGCGTCCACCACTTCACAAACAAAACCCCGCAGAAAACATGTTCTCTTTAGTATGTTGTGCATCTCGAATCTCTTGGCCAAGACGCTGTTCAAAAGAAGCCTTTCTCAAGTTGGACCAGTTTGCAGTCTGAAGGATTTCCCAAGCATCAGTGGGGATCTGATCACAAAAAGACAACTCTAGGTCCTGCAAACGCACGGGCAACTGCATTTTAAAACAATATGTGCAATCGAATGCAGTACGCGCTCCTCCAGAGCGGCGCTCTGGGCCAAAGCCTTCAAAAGATGCTTTGCACCTTCAGCACCCTTCGTGTTGTCATCGAAGCACCTCACAACGACATGGAGATGCATTGGATGCGTTGAACAAGTTGATGGCAATCAGTAAAGTGTACACAACAAGTTCCGTGTGGGGAGTTTCAGCTCAGCATATCTCAGCATGATTATGTTGAGTGCTGCCAAGGAATTCACACTTGTAAAACAATTATTAGACATATGTTTTTTTGTTTCTGGTATAGCTGGATCCTAGCCTACCACTAGGGGTAGGATTACCTATAGGGTCCTTGTGGGTCACAAACAAACATCTTCAAAAAAAGCCCTTACTGCCTTTCTGAAGAACTCTTGTCATCGGGAATCAACACAAGGAGATCCCAAACACATCCCAAGCCTCCCGCGGCGTTCTCTCGGGCAAGACGCTGTTCAAAAGAAGCCTTCTTCAAGTTGGACCAGTTTGCAGTCTGAAGCGCTTCCCAAGCATCACTGGGGATCTCGGAGCAACGAGACAGATTAAGGTCCTGCGTCTGTAAAGGCAATTGCAGTTTGGAACAACATGCGCAGTGAACACTCCTCCAAAACGGCACTCTGGGCCAAAGCTTTTATAAGATGCTTCGCCCCCTCAGCACCCTTTGTTCTTTCATAGAAGCACCTCAACGACACGGAGATGCATTGAACCAGATACATTGTCATCCTTTGCGTCGAGCTTCGACTAAGCATGAGTGCTTCCAGGGGGTTCTTGTCAAAGATATAGAAACGTGCTTTGTTGCGTCCTTTCTCTTGGCGTGCTCAGCTTCACAAACAAACACCCACGCCTTTCCCTTGGCCAAGACACATTTCAAAAGAAACCTTTCTCAAGTTGGACCAGTTTGCAGTCTGAAGGATTTCCCAAGCATCAGTGGGGATCTGATCACAAAAAGACAACTCTAGGTCCTGCAAACGCACGGGCAACTGCATTTTAAAACAATATGTGCAATCGAATGCAGTACGCGCTCCTCCAGAGCGGCGCTCTGGGCCAAAGCCTTCAAAAGATGCTTTGCACCTTCAGCACCCTTCGTGTTGTCATCGAAGCACCTCACAACGACATGGAGATGCATTGGATGCGTTGAACAAGTTGATGGCAATCAGTAAAATGTACACAACAAGTTCCGTGTGGGGAGTTTCAGCTCAGCATATCTCAGCATGATTATGTTGAGTGCTGCCAAGGCATTCACACGTGTAGAAGATGTAGAACAATTATGTGTTCACCACTTCACAACCAAACACCTCCAAAACAAACGTTCTTACTGGAGTATTTCGGACATCTGTAATCAACACAAGGAGAACGATGCAACTGGCGCCCTTCTCCTGGCCAAGACGCTGTTCAAAAGAAGCTTTCTTCAAGTTGGACCAGTTTGCAGTCTGAAGCGCTTCCCAAGCATCACTGGGGATCTGGTTGCAATCAGACAAATTTAGGTCCTGCGTCTGCAAAGCCAACTGCACTTTGGAACAAAATGCGCGCAGTCGAATGCAGTGGACGCTCCTCCAGAGCGGCGCTCTGGGCCAAAGCTGCAAGCAAGGAAGAGGCTTCGAAGGGCACAGTACGGTCATGGCCACTGAAAGCGCGAGGAATTCGAACGGAGCGGAAGATTCTGGGAAGGATTTGAAAGTCCGTCAGTCCTGCAGAGCGCAAAGGGTTCAAAGAAAACGTGCCTTTGTTGGAGGATGTTGGATGTTCTTGCTGACCAGATGAAAAGAATTTCAATATCGTTTGAACTATTGCGAGGTGGTTGATTAGATGCCTTGCAGTGCAGTCTCAAAGCGGACAAGCCTACATGCAAACAAGCATGTAAGGCGATCATTTCTGGCCACTTTGCCCATTGAACACTCAACAGGGTCCCAAAATACACTAGTCCGGAAAAAACAACAAATTTCTGAGTTGTCTGGCCAATCAAATAGTCGTGTGGGACGAGCAAATGCTTCGGCAAGAAGCTGCATTCAACTAGATAGATATATATTATATATATATATATGCGCTTGTGTGTGAACCCTCGCTTCGTAAGGCGGCCTGTATTTATCACTACAGCCCGAGCCCTCTGAGAATTAAAGGCATTCAAGCCGGCCTACCATAGTAGGATGCCATAGGCACCCTTCTGCGCAAAAGGTTAACCAAAAGAATTAACCAAGCACAAAATCCTTCGGAGCTCCCTCCTTCCACGCGCCCCTAACTGGCTCCGTGACCATGGCGGGCAGGGAGGGGAAGTAGAGTCGGCTTGAATGCATCCATGTACAGTCTCAGCTCCACGAATAAAGAAGAAGAAAGAGTAGACTCAAAGGAGCTCTACTATTGGGAACGAATGCGCAGGGACAGCTGAGACTCAAAGAGCTCTACTTTAGAATAGACCTTTTCACCCAGCAACATCGACAGCTGGAACGCGCATGGACGCGGTGTGAGCAGCGATGATTCATTATGGCCGATGAGGATCACCAAATCGACGACAAATACAAGGAACCATCTGAGGAAAGTAGACTCATGGAGCTCTACTTCAAGCAACCACAAATAGGCTACGCAATGAGGGGGAAGCCAATGGACTGCCAACCACTTATAGACGTGAAGTGAAAGCCTGTTCTCCTTTAAAGGAGTCAGGCGAGGAAGGTTCGTACTCAACCCTCCCCCGATTCACTGCAGCAGTACGCTGCCATTGGTGAAAGCTCTAACCTAAGAAGATCTGGAAAATAACTTCCACTTCACAGCCGGAGCCTTTCCAAAGACTCCACGGTTGAAAATGGTAGACTCCGAGAGCCCTACACGATTCTAGAGCAGCCCTTCGCAGGCACAGGCTCTAGCTACAATGATGCCTTTGACCTCTGGGCAGCGTTCCAGGGCCTCCTTCAATTCTTCGTCCTTGAACGTCTTGGTGTCACCATGGAACTTCATGCCAGGGTAACGCTGTTTCAACTTGCAAGCAGGCCTCATTCTTTTCCATGAAGACAGTCACCGATGACCAGAGCAAAATCCTTCATTGCCGACACCTGCTCCTTCTTCACAAAGGATGCGCCTTGGAGGATCGCCTCCGGCCTGTCGATCTGCCCACGGCAGCCGCGCCGCGAACCACGTGGCCCCGCGGCCGCCATTGCATGGCGCGCGCAGCTCCGTCCAGGCCAGTGGTGACAGGGCCTCCATCACCAACATTTGCTGAAATAACTTTAGCGACATGTCATAACCTTCGGTTGGCTGGCAGATCGTTGCAAACGTCTCCTCCAGGAAAACCATCATACATCGTCGGCACTGCAGAACATGAACAACCTTTCCAGCCCAGACCTGCAAGTCCTCAACCAGCAGCGGGCCTAGCCTAAACCAATTTTTTTTACACTTTTGCGTGGAGGCGCTACATATTGACTTCTTCTCGTTGAAGACCGCCTCAACCTTATCTTGCTCACGCAGTAACAATCTAGCCTCCTCAATGTCAGGTGGAACCCCCTTTTCTGTTTCTCTTTGCCGCTTGGTTCTCATCCGACAATGACTGGGGCACTGCCACCTCCAACTGACCAAGCACTGTATCACTCATCCCAGTCCTACAGCAATGAACACTGAGCAAGGTCAGGCAAAGCGGAGCTGTCTGGGTACATCCCAGACTCGGCGCCCTCAACGCCATCTGGCAAAGAGCGCCCTGCAACAAGCCAGCCGCAGCGACGCGCCTAACCAAGCCACAGCCACCTTTCATTGGGCTTGCCAACATCACTGCACCTGACAGGTTTTTCCAACGTCAAGTACTGCGGCCAACATTCTGGTAACTTCAACAGCAGGAAACTTGGCACCAGGTTTTCGCCTGAGAGCAACATCTCTTCCGCTTTCAACACAACGACGTGCTGCAAACTTGTCTGGTAAACAAAATCCTGCGGCTCCTCAATGACAGAGTGGTTGGTTGCTCGCACGCCCGAAGCACAGGGTCCACCAACGCCGTAAAGGCTCCCGGGATCGGAATGCCGCAGGCTACTCCGCAGGCTCCATTGAGCATGGCCGTGGTGCGGCCGCTTCTTTAAGAGCATGGCCAAGCCCCTATTGAGCAAAGCCCGAGCCACTTCTGGCCATTCTTGGTCATAGAGGTTCTGGGCACAAAGCCTGCCTTGAAGTTCCTCTGGCAGGATTTCGAGAATGTCTACGAAGGCCTTCTGTTTTACACCGGGCAACGATGCGACCACACCTCTTCTGCCTTTTTCCACATACTCCTCAACACCCTCAAAACCGCATTAGGTCCTCCTCCTGGTACTCAGTCGCTAGGGAACCACGCGGCACTTCTGGATGATGCCATTCACCATGCCATGAACAAAGGAGAACTGCCACCATGCCAGATTCCTCGCACTCCCTGCTGCTCATTCACTGTTCCAGATGTTCAACAGGTGCAATTGAAGAAAACCAAAATGGGAGAGGAAAGAGGTCCCTCACCGGGTCTCCTCCTCCCCGTGGGGAGCTGTAGTGACCACCTCAACATCCTTGCAAAACCACAGTCCGACTTGAAAATCTGAACTACCAGGCGGCGAATAACCTGGACTGGCGAAAACCCCCCGCGGTTGGCGTCACGGAAGACATCAGCCAGCTCCTTACTGATAGCTTCAAATCCTTCTCCGAAATGCACCCTCGACTTCAACTGCTTGTTCCTGCGCAGACATTTGCTTGTCTCCGTGCACCTTACCACCTGAAGCTCGAGGGGGCCTAGGTCGCAAGTGAACTTTCTTTGGGAGGCCGCCTCATGACGATGGCTGGACATCACCCTCCATACCCGTCTCTTCATAAGACACATGGCCAAGTGCTCCGTCTGGATCCTCGCCTCCACAGGGTAGACCGAGGGCGAAGTCAACAAGCAGTGTTCATTGGCCACTAACTCGTCCCGGGGTCTAGATCGCCCGTGCACTGGTGCCTCAGCTTCAACTGTCTTCTCCGGCACTTCAACTAACTTCACAGCACGCTTTTCAAACCCGTCACCTGTTTTGTAGCATCATCTGACGCTCCAGTCCCCACAATTGGGGTCTCTGGAAGCTTCCCCTTGTTCTTCTGAGCGGCCTTCTGCAAGGGAACGTGCCCCCATCTGACTGCCAAGGGCCTCCAATGTTTGCCAAGACCAGGGCAGTAGAAGACGCCAAGCTCCAACTTGGATCAAGCGGCCCACACTACTTTCTCCACCGGAAACTCGGCACCTTAGGGGTCAACACCGGCAAAAATGGAAATGTCAGGTCTCAGGCAGTTGACTGGTCAGTAACTTTGCGTAATTCGGACCGGGCGCTCCTTCATGAGTCCCTGCAATAATGCAGCACTCCATATCAATCCAGGAGAGGGGGTGACGGTTAGCGGTCCCAACCTGGTCATGACATTCATACTCAAAGTGCCAGGCAGCTGGCTTGCTTGTCAAAAGGCCTATGGGCCAACTCAATGCTAGACTCCCCACCTCGACCTGAATGATGAATCTCGTCAGTGCAAGCAGGGTCAATACGGAGCTGACCGCCCATCTCCAGCGTCTCCAGTTTGGCCAGAACCCACACGAGGTCTCTGGGCACCTGGATGGGGGGATAGCCCTCACTGAGCCGAAAGACTACACATGGTTCACAACGTGCATACGTCTGCTGTACAGCAGTAATCATATACATATAAAGAACCTAGTTGCGTTCAACTGCAGTCTACTTTTCCAAATAATCAATGAAAGTACAAATAAACATAGAATAGTAACATATAGTCTATAGTAATAGCTTGTAATGGCATTGTGCCAAACCATCAGACAGCACCAAGCACACCAGTCCTCGGGCAAAGCTCGGACCAAAGGTGACCTGTTCGGGGATGCCAAAGGACTTCCGGAGGCAGGGCCAAAGACCAGGGTGAGTCTGAAGCACTCCCCAAGCATCGCTGGGGATCTGGGAGCAATCGGTCAAATCAAGCTCCTGCAAAGGCAACTAAATGTTGAAACAAAGAGCGCAGTCCAGTGAAGTGGATGCTAGTCCAGTGAAGTGGATGCTCCTCCAGAGCGGCACTCTGGGCCAAAGCCTTCAAAAGATGCTTTGCACCCTCGGCACCCTTCGTGTTGTCATCGAAGCACCTCACAACATGGAGCCAGTCATGGAGCCCCATCTCAGCGTGATGTTCAATTATGCTTCCCAGACATTCACAATTCTAAGAAATGTAGAAACATGCTTTGTTGAGTCCTTTCTTTTGGCGTGCTTCTCTTCACAAACAAACATCTCCAAAAAAGTATGTAATCAACACAAGGAGAACGATGCAACTGGTGCCCTTCTCCTGGCCAAGACGCTGTTCAAAAGAAGCCTTCTTCAATTTGGACCAGTTTGTAGTCTGAAGCACTTCCCAAGCAACACTGGGGATCTGGTCGCAATAAGACAAACCCAGGTCCTGCGTCTGTAAAGGCAACTGCATTTTGGAACAACATGTGCAGTTGAGTGCAGTGGATGCTCCTCTAGAGCAGCACTCTGGGCCAACGCCTTCAAAAGATGCTTCGCTCCCTCAGCACCCTTTGTTCTTTCATAGAAGCACCTCAACAACACGGAGATGCATTGAACGAGATACAATGACAATCTGTGCACAACAGGGTCGAGCTTCGTCTCAGCATGAGTGCTTCCAAGGGGTTCTTGTAAAAGATGTAGAAACGTGCTTTGCTGCGTCCTTTCTTTTGGTGTGCTCAAACAAACATCCACGCCCTTCCCTTGGCCAAGACGCATGTCAAAAAATGCCTTCTTCAAGTTCGACCAGTTTGCAGTCTGAAGCGCTTCCCAAGCATCACCGGGAATCTGGTCACAATAAGACAAATCTAGGTCCTGCATCTGCAAAGGCAACTGGATTTTGGAACAACATGTGCAGTGGTGCAGTGGACGCTCCTCCAGGGCAGCGCACTGGGCCAAAGCCTTCAGAAGATGCTTCGCTCCCTCAGCACCCTCCGTGTTGACATTGAAGCACCTCAACGACACGGAGATGCATTGAACTGGTTGATGGCAATCGGTAAAGTGCGCACAACAAGTTCAGCAAGTCGAGCCCCATCTCAGTCTGATGTTCAATGCTTCCCAGACATTCGCACGTCTAAGAGATGTAGAAACATGCTTTGTTGAGTCCTTTCTTTTGGCGTGCTTCTCTTCAAAAACAAACAGTCTCAAATCAACACAAGAAGAACAATGCAACTGGAGCCAGCCACGCATTGCCACGCCCTTCTCTTGGCCAAGCCACTCCTGAAAAAATGCCTTCTGCAAGTTGGACCAGTTTGCAGTTCGAAGCACTTCCCAAGCATCACTCGGGATCTGATTGCAACCAGACAGATTCAGGTCCTGCGTCTGCAAAGGCAACTGCATTTTGGATCATTTTGGAACAAAATGTGCAGTTGAGTGCAGTGGTGCAATGGACGCTCCTCCAGGGCAGCGCACTGGGCCAAAGCCTTCAAAAGATGCTTCGCACCCTCAGCACCCTTCGTGTTGCCATAGAAGCACCTCAACGACACGGATATGGCCCAGGAGGCTTGGAAGCATGATGTTGAAGGCGTTCACACGTGCAAAAGTTGTAGAAACATAATTACTTTGTTGCATCCTTTCTTTGGGTGGGTTCCTCTTCACAAACAAATACCTCCAAGAAACATCCTTACTGAAGTAACTATTTTGGACATCTGGAATCAACACATGGAGAACGATGTAAGTGGAGCCTCCGACGCCCTTCTCTTCGCTAAGACGCCATGCGAAATCAGCCTTCTTCAAGTTCCACCAGTTTGAAGTCTGAAGCACTTGCCAAGAATCACGGCGGATTTGACCGCAACGAGACAGATCTAGATCCTGTGTCTGCAAAACCAAGTGCATTTGGAACAAAATGCGCAGTCGAGTGCAGTGGACGCTCCTCCAGAGTGGCGCTCTGGGCCAAGGCCTTCAAAAGATGCTTCGCTCCCTCAGCACCCTTCGTCTTGACATTGAAGCACCTCAACAACACGGAGATGCATTGAGCATCATTGAGCTAGTTGATGGCAATCAGTGTGCAGCGTGCACAACAGATTCGGTACGTCGAGCCCCATTGAAAGCGCATGATGTTGAGTACATTGAAAGCGGTCTCACTTGTAACTGCCTGATGTAGATGGTTTTGGCGTCTACCACTTCACGAACAAGCATCTCCAGTCCATACTTAAGATTCTGTTGGAATTTGGATCAACACAAGGAGAACAATGCAAGTGGAGCCTTCTACGCCCTTCTCTTGGCCAGGGCGCTCTTGAAAAAATGCCTTCTTCAAGCTCGACCAGTTTGCAGTCTGAAGCACCTCCCAAGCATTACTCGTGATCTGGTCGCAATAAGACAGATTCAGGTCCTGCATCTGCAAAGGCAACTGCATGTTGGAACAACATGTGCAGTCGAGTGCAGTAGATGCTCCTCCAGAGCAGCGCTCTGGGCCAGCGCCTTCAAAAGGTGCTTCGCTCCCTCAGCACCCTTCTTGTTGGCATTGAAGGACCTCAAAGACACGGAGATGCATTGAACTAGCTGATGGCAATCAGTAAAGGGCGCCGAAGAGGTTTGGAAGCAGAATGCTGAAGGCACTCACGCTTGTAAAACAATGTAAAACATATAGAACCGTGTTTTGTTGTGCCCTTTCTTTTTGTTTGCTCCACTTCACAAACAAGGTGACGGTCCCAAGAGCGACGCCGTGGAATCTGATCAACCGAACATGTAGACCGGTACCGAACGTCAACACAGTCCGAACGTTGCCCACCTACAGTAGATGGACCAAATATTCAAACCCATGTATCAATAACTGTCGCCAACCCCTGACCCCCAAAGGTCAATGTTGAACATAACTTGATTGAATTTGTGTTTCCAGGGTTTGATTTGTTTCGTCCATTCGCCGAAACATTCTTGCAAGACCTCTAACATTGAGCTTTGGGGTAGAAGGGGTCCTCGTGGTTGACAGGGTTTGAATATTTCGTCCATCTACGGTACTGGGTGCGGACGGCGGCCGGAGACCTACAGACGCACATGCGTGTGTTGTTTTCAAGTGATGCCGGGCAGTTCCAGCTACTCTTCTTACTGTTGCCATGTGCCGTGTCTGTTCCCAGTCCCTTTCCAGTGCCTTTCCAGTGCCTTTTCCAGTGCCTTTTCACGGTTTGTGTGCGCCTGCCAGTGATTTTGCCATGTGACTCACTTTTTTGCTAAAAAGAGATAGATCATCTTTTTGTTTCAACAAAACTTACCAGAAACACATTTTTGCTGGCAGGGCCACGAGAAAGTGCAAAAGGCACTGGAAAAGGCACTGGAAAGGCACTGGAAAGGCACTGGGAACAAACACGGCACGTCGCAACAGTAAGAACAGTAGCTGGAACTGCTCTTCATCTGGCTTGCTTTCCTGACGTCTGCTGTCCTCGCTCGCAACGCGTCGATGTGAAAGAGTTGAGCACAGAAGATTAAAACAGAGAGTACTACGGATGAAGATGCTAGACTTGATAC